CATCTTTCGTGGGCCTCTGTGCTGTCTGCGTGGGTGGCCAAGGGGCCCAGGTCTGGAGACTTAGTTTACTGTGGACAGTTTTCTGCTAGAATCTGGAAAAGCCGAGAATTGGCTCCTATCAGGGCTGAGGTTCCAGTTAGGGGAGAGGGTCTGGACACCCCAGATCCTCACACAACACCCTCCTTAGGGCGTCTCCAGCTCAACATTGGGGGGGGGGGAGTCTGCCCCCTCCTTCACTTCCAGGCCCACACTCGGGAAGCAGCTGGGCCAGGGTCAGGAGCACGGCTCCCGCCTCAGGCCGTGCTGACTCAGCCCGGCTGCGCTCCACGAATGACACGGACATCAGCGTTCTCCACATGGACTGTGTCTCTCCACTGCCAGCGGCGATGATGCAGGAGGAACTTTCTCCTTGAGGCCACACAATTCTAATGTGCCTCTCTGTCCCCATCACACCGACCCAGAGCGTCCTGCTGGCTGGCTGTGGGCTGCGCTGGCTGCCATAAGGGTGTGCATGACCATTGACACAATCCCTTCAAGACCTCCAGGCAATCTTACCCTCATTTCGGACTCCTCTGGACTCTGCTCCGGGGCTACTGCAGCCTGCCTGCCCCTGGCCTCTGGGGAGCAGGGCTGCCGTCCAGGAGAGATGCTGGAGGGAAGGCCCATGGTGGCTGCCCAGCACAGGGCTGTGGCCGTATGCTTGCCTCAGATGTCCTGGCGCCTCGTCCTCCTCCATCACCTTGTCTTCCTCAGAGAACAGGCAGTAGGGAGAGCCCAGGTCTAACTTTCCATTGTGGGAGGCCTGTCTCCACAGCCACAATTCTCAGGTGGGGCTGGAAACACTTCCTGTGTGGCCTCCCCTGTCTCAAAGTCCGCCACCTTCATTCCTTTCGCATTTCTAGGCAACAGCCTTGGGATGGACTCATTCTTTTTAAAAATAAAATATTTGTTAACATCTTCTGTTTGCACATGGCCTAAATTTCACCCTGTATCCAGTTCCCTGGCTCCCCTAGGGCCGTCCCATATGATAACAATTTGAAAAGAAGAAAAAAAGGAGGACAAAACCAGCAAAATGAGCCCTGGGTCAAAACCAGAATCTGAGCACATGCACACTGCTCCAAGCCTGGGGCCTGTCTCCGAAGGATGGGAGGAGGCCTCCTGAGTCACATGTGCTCTTGGTGATGTTGCAATGTTCGTCTTTGGTGGCTTCGTGTGACACCCCCTTTCCTGGGCCATTGCCACCATCCTCGGCCGTCTTACCTCCTGGCTCGGCGTCGGTGCGTGGAAGTCTTCTCATGGTTCTCCCCATTTTTGTGTTTGTTGTCTCTTGCGGCACAAAATATTCCGCTGCCTTCACACATCACGGTGTGTTTAGCCATCCTGCAGCCGATGAGTCCCCAAAGGTAACAACATCGATGCTAACATCTTAAGGCCGCTCACAAGGGGGTGCAACTCGAGCTAGGGACGCTCCACAAAACAAATATAGGCTCCATCATGAAATCCCAAAGAACGTGGACGGGGTTCTGACCCCAGTGGCGGTCTCTAATAACTCTTTCACATATCAATCTCTATTCCACAATCACACAAAGAATAGACATTCAAGGCTTGCTTAGAAACACAATCGATATAACAACATTTTTGTGCCAGCAGCTGATAGGGAAAAGAGGCAGGGGTGGTCTGGAAAGCCCTATAGACACAGCCCATGATATAGCTAGGCTCTTCGTGGTCATGGAGAGTAGCTGCTCCATGGCCTTCTGCCAAAAACATTCAGACAGGTAGTCAAAAGGTAGGAACAGTTTTTTTGTTTTGTTTGGTTTTGGTTTTTTTAGGCAATTGGGGTTAAGTGACTTGCCCAGGGTCACACAGCTAGTAAGTGCCAAGTGTTTGGTCTGAGGCCAGATCTGAACTCAGGTCCTCCTGACTTCAGGGCCAGTGCTCTATCCACTGCACCACCTAGCTGCCTCAAGGAACAGTTTTCAAGAGACCGTGTGCAGGCTCTGAAAGATCCATGAAAACACAAATGTAGGAGAAATACAAATTCAAAAACCCCATGGTTTCCCCTCATGTTGGGCAAATTGGCAAAGATGACATAATCAATATTGGTGGGGTTGTGGGAAGGCAGGCAGGCTGATTCACTGACAGGATCCAACCATTCGGAATTTCCATCCAGAATTACTCAATTAAAGTGACCACAATGTCCACTCCCATTGAGCCAGGCACCCCACCAACGTCCACCAACCCCGGGGAGGTCAAAGACAGAAACAGAGTCTGCCCTGTGCCAAAGTGCACAGAGTAGCTCTCTTTTCATGATAGCAAGAGCTGGGAGCAGCGTGATCAGAGTTTTCCCAAATTCCCCACAGCCCTCATGAGCCCTCACTGTTGCTGTCTGACACCAGTTGGTATCATCCACTGCTTTTATTTATCTTCTATTCAGGCCTGTATCTACCCAACTGCTTTTATCACTTGGCTATTTTTTCAGACCAAACTGAAACCTTGATTTTAAGAATTCTAGATTAAAGATGAGAGTCGGAGTCCGACTATTAGCTCTGACACCGCTTGTGTGACCGACCATCTAACTCTCAGGCCCTCAGTTTCACCGTTAGACTGAATGGCTTCTCAGATCCCTTCCAGACCTAAAGCTGTGAACCTGACAGTCAAGAGGGTCTGAAGAAATCATGGCACGTGAGTGTGAGGGGATATTACTTGTGGTGAGGAATGAGGAATTCAGAGAAATGTGGAAAGATTTTATGAACTGGTCCGGAACCAAGCAAGCAGGGCCGCAGAACCAGAGAAAGAGTGACTGTAATGATGCAGATGAAGAGAGGAAGGAGCCTGGACCGAGTCACTGGAAGACTGATATGGGTCCTAAAGAAGAAACAGCCTGGCCACTGCAGAGGCAGCGACTCCCAGGATGGGAGGTTCCAGGCCAGGTTTCCATACTGATGTTTTTCTCTGTCCCAAGGGGAGGCTCAGTCTGTAGGGGTGGGGAAGGAAAAGGTTCTGAGGCAAGGTCAAAAGAAGAGATCCTTTCTAGAGCCCCTGATCCTTGGATCAACATGTTCCCAAGTGGACAGCGACCACTCTGTCAGGGACAGGAGCTTGACCAGACCGAGTCAGGCCCAGAGCTGGTCACCAAGCTTCCCTTTTCTTGAGGTGGCTGAGGTCCCCTTGACCACTTCCTCTGGCGTGGGGGGACGACAGCAGGGCTCGCCTGCATGAGGAGGTGGTGGAGGGGCCCTTTGAGGAAGAGGAGCTGAGGACTTGGGGCTACCTCTACCAAGAAGTGAAGGGGGCTCCTAGAACAGAAGTCTAGATCCGTTCTTTCTGTCATGGCCCTTCTGATACCTAGGACCCCTTCTCACCACCATGTTTTTAAATGCAAAATAATAATAATAATAATAGTAATAATGCATACAAACACAAAGGAAACTAATTGTATTAAAATGCAGTTGTCAAAAGATGGCAGGTTCTAAGGATCTGCGCACAGAAGCTCCAGGGGCCCGAGATCCTAGGTGAAGACTCCTCATTCTAGCCTGCCAAGCACAGTTGCTGGATTAACCTGGAGCTCAGGGGGACAGAGAGGGGCAGGGGGCCGGCCCCAGCTATCAACTGTTCAGCTTCTCTGGAACCGTGAGTTCATTAAGCACTTTTCTCATAAAAGTCCTGAGAGGGAGAGAGTGTAGGTATCATAGTTCTTTTTGACAGATGAGGAAAATGAGGCTCTAAGCAGGAGTGGCATGTCCTGGGTAACACAGGGAGTGGGTGGTAGCCACCTTTACAGGGCTCCCCCCGCTAAGCCTCAGGTGGCCAGCAGCCTGTGAGGTGTCTGCTCCCGGCAGGGCCGAAGGAAGGAAAGAGGGCCTCCCCCATTGGCAGCAGCCTGGGTCAGCCTGGGCCAGGCCCTACTGGGCGGTCAGTGTGTAGCTGCCCTTTCGGTCCAGGTTCCTGCCATAATGGATGGTCAGCCAGAGGAAGGAGGTGAGGAACATCCCGTAAACCTAAGGGCAGAAGAGAGATGGAGCATTAGGGGCCAGGTTTGAGGGGGGCAGCCTAGGCTTCTCTACGGAAGCCCTGGTCTGAGGCAGGAGGCAGTTCAGAGGGGACAGGGGAGTCTGACCTCCCTGTCTGGGGGCTTCCTTAGGCAAGGCCCCTATGGCTGGACATCAGCATCTAATGGAGGTCCCTCCCACCTCTCCATCCTAGGAGCCTTTTCTAGGAAGGACCCCTGTAGCCTTTGGGAGGGAGGGAAGGAAGCAGGGAGGCAGCAGTGGGGCCAGAGCCTCTGGGCACCTTCCCTGTGGCTGGAGGTGGGCCTGGGCTTGGCCAGCCTGGGGCCATCTCCCTTTCAGCTCATTGGCTTTGGACAAGGCGTCTGGGCTATTCCATTTCTCCAGCCCAGAGAGAGAGAATTCTGAGGATTTAGGGCTGGGAGAAACATTAGGAACCTGCGAGTCCAGGTCTGTCCTCATTTTACAGAGAAGGAAACCAAGGCCCAGAGGAGGGGGGTTGCTGACTCAGGGTCACACACAATAAGTGGCAGAGCCAGGTCTTTTCACACCAGATCCAAGGGAGTCAGGGGACCTTATTCCCTCTGTGGCTTTCAGCAAATCCCATTGCTTCCCGGGGCCTCAGTTTCCCCATCTGTAACATGCAGGCCCTGGGTCTGATGGATGGTCTTGAAGGCCCCTCAGCTTGTGGTGTCTTTGATTTAGAAGCCCTCCTCCGGTCAGAGGGAAGAGGAGATGGGCAGGGGTCATCACAGGACTTCTTCATGATGGGCCATCTCCTAAGCCCAGGCCGAGCCTAACCCTGTCCCACTGGGTCACAGCTCTCTACTCTGGACCGACGCCAGGGGACGTGGGGAGCCACGGAGGGGGCAGGGTACCATGAAGGCCAGCATAACGATGAACAGGAGAGTAACCAAGCTCAGATGCTCCCTCACGAAGCTTCTGATCTCCTGGAGGCAGTCCTGAAAGGGAGAGAAACAGGCTGAGCAGAGCAGAACCTGGCCCACATCCCCACCTTGTCGGAAGAGTGGTGCCCCCTGCCCTCCCCACCCCCGCTCCCCTAGTCCCAGTCCCTGGCCCAGGACCCAAGACTTGCACTCCGGAAAGGGGTCCTCGCGGCGCCAGCCCTGCAGCTGCACCCTCAGCAACCCGCCTCAGCTGGGCCCGGGCACTTGGGGCTGCTGGCTGGCTGAGACGTGCCAGGCACTGACGGGGCATTAGGTCACCATAACACACAGTTCCCATGAGGGCAGAGAAGGCCCTGCTGATTCTGGAGGCCCTTTGGGGGGTGGGGTGGGGCAGCTAGGATGCTAAGGAGATCCTGCCAGAGGAGCATCAGTCAGAGGAAAAGCTTGAGCCTTACGTGGGGGGCAGGGGGTAGGGAGCAGGCCTGTCCTGGGTAGGGGGGTGAGCCTTGTTCTCTTGGCCCCAGGGAGAGGGAGCAAGGGGAGGGGCAGGAAAGGGGCAGAGAGGCAGACTTTATCAGGTAGAAGGGCCGAGTGGCCCGGCCGGGAGTGGCTGCCCCTTGGCAAGGGGTGCTGGAGAGAGGACCCCGGTTCAAGTATAGGCTGGACCGGCCGGCCTCTGAGACTGTAGGGCTCTGAGCCCAGAGAACCTGGGACTGAGAGGGCAGCCAGGCCGGAGCCAGGGAGCCTCCCGGGCGTCCATCCACTCCAGTACGTGGCCAGTCAGGCAGTGTCAGGAGACCCGGCTCCCTTCCTTACTCACTGCCCGGCCCTGGGCGAGTCACCGAATGCCTTGGAGTCTCAGTTTCCTCATCTGTAAAATGGGGACTGTCCTCGTGCTCTCTCCCTGGGGGGGCCGTGTGTGACAGTTCTTGCCTGGGGTGGCCAAGGCAGGGTTAGAGTCCTCCCTACTCTCCTCCCCCCCCAAGCCTGGCCCAAATCTTCCCTCTTCCCGGCTGACCCAAGGCAGCAGCCCCCCTGCCTTCACTCCGTACCTCTCTCTGCCGGACTCCCCTACACAAGGCCCTTTCCTCCTGTCCAAGCCCACTGAGAGGTGAGCTCTTTCCACAGCAGCCAAGCTGGAAATGGCAGAGAGGCCCCAGTAAGAGGCAGGCCAGGGAGCAGTGTGCAGCTGCCTATCCCGGCCTGTCTGGGCTCGACTCGGGCCAGCCAGGAGGGAGAATGCTGGCAGCCTGGTCCCTGAGCTGCGCCCTTCTGAGTCCACAATACTCCTTTCTCTCCTCATTTCAGAGACCGGGAAACTGAGGACCGGGGAGAAGGAGACTTTCCAGGGCCACCTGGGCCTTAGAACAGGAATCAAACCATTTCTGACACAGACTCTCACTTTAGAGAAGCTGCCTTTCTATCCTCCCCAGGCCCCTCCCAGCCCAGGGCTCACCGTGTCATGGATGGCCACGAGCTTCTGCCGCCAGATGTCGGAGACGTTCCTCATTGCCTGTTCGTAAGCCAGGTCGTAGGTGTCGAGCATGGTGTTCTCCACCTGTGAACAGAACCCGCCAGGAAGGCTTGAGACTGGAGATCCCCCTGATCCTGCCCTCCCCCTTCTCTTCCCATTCCTTCTCACCATTATCCAGCTCCTATTATTACCACCAATGAGCCCCATCCGCCCTCAGTGCTCCACAGAGGCTCCTTTCTATCATTCCCATGCCCACCAATGAGCCCCATCCACCCTCAGCGCTCCACAGAGGCTCCTTTCTATCATCCCAATGCCCACCAATGAGCCCCATCTGCCCTCAGCGCTCCACAGAGGCTCCTTTCTATCATCCCCATGCCTGCCAGCCCCATCACCAACATTACAATCACTTCTATAGCCACCTGAAGACACTGAACAAATAACACATTTTATTGAGAAATTAAGAAAAATCAAGCCGATTCTCTTTTGTAAGTGATGCCATTCTGTCTCTCTCCCATTCTGTAGCAGCGCCTCAGGCACATCTCTCTGAATTCAGTTATGAGGGTCCGTTTCCTCAGTTAAGTTTCAAAGTTCTGTTCCCCTATAAATCACTTTAATTAAAGGCAACTTGTTGCCTCTGGACCACCAGCTGTCCTTGACCAGTCAGAGGAAGCCCGCTGTCTCTCTACTGCTAGCTATTCTTGTGGGTGGACTCCCTCCATCAGAATCTCTAGCTAAAAGACGGAAGGAGAGGGTGTTGCTAAGCCCGCCTTCCTGAGGGCCTGTCAATCACATTGTCCCCCAGCCTATGGTGCTTCTGACTTTGTAGCCAACTGTGCTGTCTTCCCCACCGCAAGGCTGCCTTCTAGTCTCTGGAGGAGACCCTGGTTTTGGGAAATTTGAGCTTTGCTAATAAATTGATGGTGTTCAGAACTTGGGCCTCAGTTTACCTTAATTTCCCTCGAGGAAGGAAACTGAGGCCCACACTGGTGAAATTTCCAGAGCTTGTCCTGCCCTCTCCCCTCTACTCGGACAGTCTTCCCTTCACCTCTCACCTACTGAAATCCTCATTCTATGAGGCCAGCTCAGGGGCTGCTTTCTTAGTGAAGCCTTCCCTGATTCTTCTAGATCAGGGATGGGGAAACTGCGGCCTCAGAGTGGCCCTCTAGGTCCTCAAGCATGGCCCTTTGACTGAGTCCAAACTTCACAGAACAAATCCCCTTCATAAAAGGATGAAAATGATCTTTCTTGGGCATCTAGGTGGCACCATAGTGCCCAGAGTGCTGAGCCTAGAGTCAAGAAGACCTTACACTTACTAGCTGTGTGACTCTGGGCAAGTCACTTAGCCTCTGCTGGCCTCGGTTTCCCCACCCATAAAATGAGTACGGTAGTAACACCCACCTCCCAGGATTACCATGACGATCACACAGAGCCTGGCACACAGTAGGTGCTGTGTGAATGTTAGCTGTCACTATTATTACTTGTCATATTCCCGGAGCACTTTGCCTGCTTTCGCCTCTGCCCCCTTTGCTGACCTCCTCCCTGTCTTGTGTCGTCCTGATCTGTGTCCACAACACAGCTTCGTCCTCAGGCACGGTGCTGGGCACAGAGGGGCTTATAACAAAAGCGAATGATGCCCATGACCGGGCAGGGTGGGGCCTCCTGGGAACCTCTCGGGAGGTGACCGTGCCTGGGCCCTGGAAGACCTGCCAAGCAGGGCCCCTGGAAGGGACCGCCCCCTCCAGTGAAGGGCTGGCGGCCCCTGAGACTCGCCGTGGCCGCTTGGCCAGTCATCAGCTGGGGTGTGAGAGGCTGCGTGGGGCAGAGAGCACCCCCCCAGTCTACCAGGAAGAGGAGCCCAGAGCTTTTTCCTTTGCCCGGGGACCCCTCCCCGATAAAACAGGGAAGGGCAGTCCAGGATCCCCGCCTCCTTCTTCTGTTCTCCCAAGCCCAGGCTGGAGCTGCCGACCGGAGGACGTGTTTGCTGATTTCTTATCGATCCCAGGACTTAGGGGAGACAGCCCAGGCAGAGCTCCTGCCAGGAAGAAATCAATGGACCGGACAGAGAGTCTGAGGAAGGGGAAGCTTGAGGCAAGAACGTCCTTCTGGGAGCTCTAGTCCCGGTATTCGAGGCCCTTACACCTGCTTCCCGGCCTCAGCTCCTCTCCGGGCACACTCCGGGCAGATTCCCACCTCCACGCCTTTGCTCCTGACATTCACCCTGGAATGCTTTTCTTCTGTAACAAGGGTCCAAAGGCCAGCTTAGGAGCGTGGTCCACACACTCCGCCTGGTGGCACGTGGGAGTTTGGTGAGCCTGCTTAATGAGCAATTCAGCCCCCACCGTGTGCTAGGCCCTGGGGGTACAGGAGCCAGTGATTAAGGCGGGCCCAACCACGGACTCCCTCTCCATCTCTGTTTCCTGGTTGTGGTGTAGCCCGGGAGGGCCGGCCTGCTGCCGGGGCCCTCATGGCCCCTCTGTCCTTCCCTGCTCTTGGCTGAAGGCGTCTCGGAGACAGCTAAGACCTTCTGGGCCTCTGGAGGCCGGCGGTGCTGGGGTCTGTCCACAGCCCTGAGGAGTGACTGCCAATCCCAAGAAGCAGGTCCGGCGGCAGTGGGGTTTGGAAGGGGCTTCGCGGCAGCCCCCTCTGAGCCCCTCTGCCCAGGCCCCGAGGGGGGAGAGGGAGAGCCAGCCACTGTGGAAGGAGTCTTGGCCCCCTTGTGCGAGGCCTGGTGTGGTCTCCCTCCTCACCTCTGCCACGGAGAGGCCTTCCCTCCCTGGGGCTCAGCTCCGGAGCCATTCCTGACTCCTCAGCCTGGCGCCAGCTTGGCATCGGCCTGGTCCACAAGTGATGTTGACTCGTCCACCACAAGGTACTTCTCCTCGGTAGAGTGCAAACTCCCCGAGGGCAGGCAGTTCTTCTCTTTGTCTTCACATGCCCAGCATAATGCCTGGCACATAGTAGGTGCCTAACCAAATTTTCTGTCCAAACTCACTCCTTATCTATAATGATAAATACCAGTATTTCTAGAGTGCCTACGGCATCTTCACAAGAGGCTGGCCAGCACCCTAGTGAGCAGCTGAGGGGCTCCCCTCGCTGGGCCCCTCCTCATGTCTGGCAGTGAGGAGCACCCAGGCCACGGAGGGATGCCCCGCAAAGGAGGAGAGAGCAGCAGATGTAGCGTGGGGCCGAGGAGAGCCTTTGGGCTCAGGAGGCCTGGACCTTCAGATAACCCCACCCACAGAGGCCTTCTCCACCCTCCCCTCTCCTCCCTTTCCCTGTCCTTCCCTCGCTGGGTTTTCCTCTAAAATGAGAGGGCGATCTTAGACAGCTTCTCAGATCTGGTCTGTGAGTTCTATTGTCTCTCTCATGCTCTAATACACACTCACTCTCACATGCACACACACACACACACACACACACACACACACACACACACACTCACATACACACACCCCTGTACCACATCACAAAATCTGTGAAATCCCCCAAGGCCTTCTGCTTCTCCCCCTCTTAATCCCTCCACAGAGGATGGGAGGGAGCAAGCCATGGGGTCAGAGCCAGAGTAGGAGGGGGGGTCTCCCTGGACCTTTGGGGCTGGTCCTGGCCATGGCCCTGATGGGAAAGGGGGAGGACAGGCAGGGGCTCACCAAGCTGTGACCCCCACATCAGGCTAATGAAATCACAGCTGTGGAAACAACTGGGGGTAGGCCTGGGGGGGAGGGTGAAGGGCAGCCCCCTTTCCCCCTCCAAGACAAAACAAATCCAGAAACTGGGTTCTAAGGACCAACAGCGTCCCTGAGGCTCTGTTCTAGGCGAGGCTCAAAATTTCATCCACTGGAGAACTTGAAAGTCAAGCTACCAAGCAAGCCTTTTGCAAGCCCCTACTAGGTGCCAGACATTGGACACCTTAGAGATCAACCATCCCCTCTTTGTATAAATGGGGAAAACGAGTCACAGAGAAGGTTCATGACATGGCCAAAGCTCTGTGACTTCACTTGATAAAAATTCATCTTCCTGGAAACTTTAGCTTTCTATAAATGAAATCCTCCCCAAAAGGGATGGGGGAGGGGCAGGAATCCGAGGCCTGTGAAGTGGGCAGTGGCCCAGCTCTCTGGCCAGTAAATCTGCAGGGCTATCTGTCTGCTCGGCCTGAGGCAGGGCTGAGCCGTCCAAAGGTCCACAGCCTTCCTTTGTGACCTGAGGGCCAGGTGGCATCCTTCCTGCCCCAGCCCTTGCTGGGCTTTCCAGGAACAGCTGTGGCCAGCTGTGTGCACATGCATGTATTTCCACGTGCACGTGTATGTACATGTATATATTTATGTGCACATCCATGCATGCATGCATGTTGGGTGTGTTGTATATACATGTGTATGTGTGTGTGCATGTGTACATGTGTGCAGTGTGTGAATAGTATGTGCTGTGTACGTGTATTTGTGTATGTGGGTATGTATGTGGTATATATGTCTGTTCGCATTGTGTATTACATGTCTATATGTGGGTTGCGTATTGTGTGTGTGTGTGTGTGTACACAGATGTATATATGTGTAGATTTGTATAGGCGTGTATGTTTGTGTATACGTGTATATTTTCATGGGTGTGTATACGTGCATGTGCCTGTGTGTGCACGCGTGTGCATTGGGCGAGGAGGCAGGGACAGAAGGCCAGACTCATGCTCTCCTGGGCTCCTCTGTGAAGGAGGGGTGGGGGAGAGGGAGGGGAGGTTGGGAGGAGGAGACTTCTCTCTGTGGAAGCATCTTTTTAGGGAAAGTGAGTGTGTCAGGAAGAATCTGGCCCACAGCTGCTCCTCCCCCCCCCACCCCAGGCATTTCCTGAGGGCCCCACCCCCATCTGCCGGACAGCACCTCCAGGCCGGCAGGGAGGGATGGGGAGGAGGGCAGGCCTCCCTCCCTGGGCCGCCCTCGCCTCACCCGGGGCTGGGGCTGGTCCGCAGGGAAGCCCTGGGCTTGAGGCCTGCTTCTAGGAGACCACCACCCAGGCCTTTTCCTTCTGGGAGACTCAGTTTCCTCTTCTATAGAATGGGGGCTAGGAGTATGATGCGGCTCAGCTGAGTCACCGCTGGGCCC